AGCCACAAAAGCGCTGGCTCAAGGTGCCAGTGGAGGAAGGGGGCTGTCACCACGGGAACAGAGGGATGGGTCCCCCTCCGTGCGTGAGTGGGCACACGAGTGCACATGCACATACGTGTGCATGCACACACAGAGCCCGCAGCAGTGTGACATGGGAGCAGGTCGGGGTGCTCCTGCTGCCACTGGCGGGTGTTTGCACGCCTGTGCCCAGAGCTGCTGCACACGCACTGTCCTATGGGCTGGGGAGGGCAGAGACCAGTGCCTGCTGTCCTCAGGACTGGTTTGTACTGGTCTAAACCGGTCTGATTGTCTGCAACGGATGTGGGGGTGGGACTGGTCTGTAGGCTGCCCCAGTCAGGTGAGCTGAGCCCTGGGTACGAGCCCCACTGAGGTGAGGGTCCGGCTGCGGGGCCCCAGGCGCGGTGACAGCCGGTGCCATGGTGTGGCCCGGACAAACCCCTCGCGGGGCCGGGCGGGTGCAGGGAGGGGGAAGTTGGCTTAAGCACACCTTGACCTTGCTGGCGGGGGACGCAGCCCCTCAGCTTGTCGGACACATCTCCTGCCAGGGCCGGCATTGAGAGCGCGGCAGCTCGCGCGCGGAGGAGCCGGCATGAAAAGGCAGCTTAGGCATCTCCTGCTGCGAGAGATGGATTAGGGGCTGCGGGGAGGGTCGGGGACTAGCGAGAGGCGCAGCCGCCGCGGCAAGCGGGGCAGGCTCCGTGCCGGTGGCTGCTTGGCTACAGGGGGCAAGGCCGGACACGGTGGTGGCTGCCGGGATGGGATGCGGACAGAGGCTCTTCATCTTGGACTGCAGCGATACGACAAGGGGTGATGGGTTCACCCTGAAACAGGGGAAGTTCAGGTTAGATCTAAGGCAGAAGCTCTTCCCTATGAGGGTGCTGAGGCACTGGCACAAGGTGCCCAGGGAAGCTGTGGCTGCCCCATCCCTGGCAGTGCTCAAGGCCAGGCAGGACACAGGGCTTGGAGCAAGCTGCTCCATTGGAAGGTGTTCCTGCCTCTGGCAGGGGGTTGAAACTGGAGGAGCTGTAAGGTCCCTTCCAACCCAAACCAAGCTGGAATTCTACCATCCTGCTGCATCCCACTGGCAGAAGAGGGCAGTGGGCAGGCCCAGCCGAGGGGTGTGGGGAGTCCCCTTATGGAGTTCTGGGCTCAGAGGCGGTGGGTGCAGGGCCAGGGCACCCGGGGCTGGCTGCACCAGTGTCCCCGTCCCCCCGCGGGTCCCCCCACACCCAGCTGTTGCTGTCAGGAGCTCGGTGTATTTTTAGAGCTGCAGGTCGAGCGGGGGCAGTTTGTGCCCATGGGGGGGGGGCGGGGGGGGGGGGGGGGGGGGCGAGGCACCCCCTTTCTCCTCTGGTTTGGGGTTGGAAATACCCCTGGTGCTGGCAATGGGTGCTGGGGGTCTGTGCTAGCACCCCGGGCAGGGCTCTGCATTCCTGAGTGGCAGCGATGCCCCGTGTGGGCAGCCTGGGTGCTCCGTGCCCCCAGCACTGCTCCCCGTGTCTGGAGAGGGGCTCCCCACGGTGGGGGTGCCCCCATGGCCACCCCTCCCTGTCCTGGGAACAGCTGTGTCCCCACGGGTGGGGGTGGCCCTGCCAGCACCGGGCATGTGAAAGGAGGTGACAGAGCTGGCTGCTATTTATATCCAGCCCCTGTCAGGGCCGAGTGAGGGGGCACTGGTGAGCCCATGCCATGGGGCCAGGGTGGGCCTTAGGGTCCCCTGCCTGTCCCCTGGCACCACCCAGCTGCCCCTGTAGTGGGGCTGCAGTGGGGCCATGAGGCTTGTTCCGGCCTCCACGGTGTCCCGCAACCATTTCAAATGTCCCCAGCCCACCGGGGACACTGTGACACCCCTGTGCCGAGCAGGGACACAGAGCTATGCCTGATGGGGACATCAAACTGTCCCCGTGTCCATCACAGGCGTGGACTGATCCCTGTGTCACCCTTGGGGGTGTCACTGAACTGTGCTTGTCCCTGACAGCAGCATGAAGTTGTGCCCAAGAAGGACACTGAGCTGTCCCTGTGCCCAGCAGGGACATTGAGCCATGCCCGATGGGGACACTGACCCGTCCCCACATCCAGTGGGGACATTGAGCCACCCCTGTGCCCAGGGAGGGCACAGAACTGTGCCCGATGGGGACATTGAGCTGTCCCCAAGCCCAGCAGAGGACTGGACTGAGGTCTGTGCCCAAGGGTGGCATTGATCTGTCACTGTACCTGATGGTGGCAGGAAGCTGTGCCCAGCAAGGACACTGAGCTGTCCCCGTGCCCAGTCCCTCCAGGGTAGGGGGCATGGAGGGGGCAGAGTGGGGCAGGTTTGTCCCTGGCAGCCACACGTCCCCACTGGGACCAGCCCTCAGCATGAGGAGAAGCTGAGGGGGGCACATTCATTCTGAGCCCCCCCCCCCCCCCCCCCGGCCCCTCCCGCAGCCGCAGAGCGGGGCCGGGGCCGGGGCCGCAGCCCCCTCACAAAACTGCTTCAGAGGAGCAAGGAGGCACAGGCGCGGCTCATCCCACCCCAGGTCAGAAGGGCTCCATCTCCCTGCGGGCCACCCCGTGGAGGGTGGAGGCCCGTGGGTGGCTGGAGGTCCCACTGCCCACCTGATGGAGCAGGAGCTCCCTCTCGTGGGCACAGCCCCGGCGCTGACACCCCACGTTTGGGGGCTGCAGGGCTCGAGCGTCCCCTCGACTGCTGCTCCTATGTGGTGCGTGCCCTGGGCAGGGATCCCGGCTCCAACCTGCCCACCTGGACCTGTCTGGGTGCTTCGGGAGGACGAGGAGGGGACAGTCCCCTCGGAAAGCACAGTGGTAATTCCCAGGAGGAGGAAGGCTGCTCCCTCAGCGTCTCAGCTCCTCCACCCTCCATGGGGCCAAGTGCTCAAAGTATGAGGAGCTGCAGGGATGTCAGCAGGAGAGAGACCACGACCCATAAAGGGGAGAGGTTGTGGCAGCTGCTCCTCACCCGGTTGCTGCGCAAACCTGATGCAGGACGAGGTGGGTGACCCCGGTGCTGAGGTTTTTGTGGGAAGCTGAGCAAAGCACAGGCAGGCACCTGAGGGTTTTCTTAGGGCAATGAGGAGCAAATTCGAGCATTCTTCCACCCAGCAAAAGCTCTCAGAGCCACTGTGTGCAGGGGTCCCAGCTTTCAACCATGAGGCCCTCCTCAGTACACAGGGCTGACTGGTCCTGGGACAGAGCCAGGATTAGGGGGGTTTCACAGGGATGCTGAGGTGGGGGGGAAGGATGGAAGCAGCATCCCTCCTAGCAAGTTAGACGGGGCACGAAGGAGCTCCGTGAAGGAGTTCCAGCAGTGCAGCCCAGCCTGGAACACTGCAGGGACACATCGAGAGAGCTCTGCTGCGGGCTGCAGAGCACAACCACGGCTTCGGCCCCCCTGCACCGACCCGCAGGGCAGCGCTCACTGTCCCAGGGGAGCAGCTCAGGGGCAGGTCCGGGGGCACATGGAGCTCGATCTGCGAACACGCTTCAGGCAAGTCCGTTGCCAGCATCTTTCTCCTCATCCTGCCTCGACTAGGCGGCAGAGGGCAGCACGCAAGAGGGATCAGGGCAGTGAGGCTCCCGGCAGGGGAAAGGGAAGGAATTAATGTAGAGGCAGATGGAATCCCGTTGTCCTGCTGTCAGGGATGCGGGGAGACGGGAATAGAGACCAGCACGCTCCGAGACAGGTGGTGACAGCTGCGGCGGTGGGTGGGAAAGAGCTCGCCTGCCCAGCCCCTGTGCTCGAAGGGCTGCTGTGAGATGGAGACCCCGCATATTCCTTGCTGCAAGCTGCTTCCCTGCACCACGCACTGGGACATGGCCATGCCTGTGCCAGCGGGCACACGGCTCCTGTGCACGGTGAAGAGTCAGAGAATCATGCAGTCAACCAGGTTGGGAAAGACCTTTTAAGCTCATCAAGTCCAACCATTCCCCAGCACTGCCAAGGCCACCACTAACCCATGGCATGGAGGCCTCGCCTATGGTGTGCCAGCTCTTGCAGGGACGATGACTGCAGCCCTGCCTGGGCAGCCTGTTCCAATACCTGAGCACCCTCTGGGGAAGGAATTGTTCCTCAGCTGCATCTAAACCTGCCCTGGTGCAGCTTGAGACCGTTTCCTCTTGTCCCATCCCTTGTTCCTTGGGCAGAGCCCAGCCCCTCCTGGCTCCATCCTCCTGTCAGGCAGCTGTAGGCAGCGATCAGGTCCCCCCTGAGCCTGCTCTTCTCCACACTGAACCCCCCAGGTCCCGCAGCCCTTCCCCATCACCCCTGTGCTCCAGGCCCTGCACCAGCTCCGGTGCCCTTCTCTGGCTCCGCTCCAGCACCTCAATGTCCCTCTTGTAGCGAGGTGCCCAGAGCTGAGCACAGGATCCAAGGTGCGGCCTCACCAGTGCCCAGTGCAGGGGCACAGTCACTGCCCTGGCCCTGCTGCCGCTGGCACCAGCCCGCGCCTTAGCACCCATCCGCCCGCGCACACGCTGGCTGCTGTCCAGCCGTCAACCGGCACCAGCTCCACCAGTGCTCCTATTGGTTGGCATCGCCATCACTCAAGAAGCCGGGGCAATCCTATTGGCTCGTGCAGGGAGGGCGGGAAGCCTGAAGCGGGGTTCGCGCCCTCCAGTCCCCGGGGTTGAGCTCCTCCTCCTCCTTCATCCCTTGGTGCCTCTGCTCATGCGTAGCCACGATGCGCGCGCAGACGGGAGAGGGGGGGTGTTGACGCCTGCGCAGTGCGTGGCGTGCACCGAACCGCAGCGGGAGCCGCTGCGGAGGTTTAACGGTGCAGGCGGCAGTGCGGACGGTGGTGCGGGAGCCGATCCGATCCGTCCCGTCCTGCTCCCCCGCCCCGCCGGGCCCCGAGCAGCCACCCCCCTCTCCGCCTGGCTCCGCTGCAGGCCGGCGCATGCGCGCGGCCGCCCGGCGGGGCGGGGGCGGTGCTGAGGGGAGGCGGCCGGAGGCGCAGGGTCGGCCCGGGCTGAGGCGAGGCGGCGGCGGCGGCGCAAAATGGCGGACAGGTTCTCCCGCTTCAACGAGGACAGGGACTTCCAGGTAACGGCCGCGCCGCGGCGGGCGGGACCCCGCGCCTCCCGGCTTGGCTGCGGTCCCTTCAGGCCGGTTCCATCCACGCACACGGCCCCTCCTCTCCCCTCGCCGGGGCTTTGTGCGCGGGCCCCGCGCTCCGCCGGGGCGGGTAGCGGCACAAAGGGGCGAGCGAGGGGGCCGGTACCGGCTGTCAAGGTGACCCGCGGGAGGTGTCCCCGCTAAGGTGACCCTCATCGCGGGTTTGAGGGCTTTGCGGTGCCTTAGGCCGGGGGCTGTGTGGGAACGGCGGAGTTCGCCGAGCCGAGCCTGCGCCCCACCAGGGCTGTCCCACCAGCGGCTCCTTCGTAATGGAAAACGCATTTTCCTTCTAAACCCTTCTCCGCCCCCCCGGAAGAAAACATGAGTGTTTCGCCGTAATCAGCGCCGCTGTTGGTGTTTTACAGGGGATTTAAATAAACAACGGGAAAATGAACGTTGTCTCATTAAGGCTGAACAATGACATTTTGTTTTCTGACTTCAGCCCGAGAGAGTCTCGAGGTCAGCAAGCAAAAACAAAAGAACAGGCGCAGCTCGAGAAGAGCTATTGATGAGCTATTCTGTGTCGTCCTTTTTTCAGGAGCCCGAAGTTGGAACAGTGCTTTGCACTCCAACTCCTGCTTTCCATCCAGAGATACTGGAGGGTTCCTGATAGTTGCAGCGCTTGTGTAATTATACTTAATGTGGTATTAAGTTGTGATCTTGAAAGCAGCCAGGACATCCAGTAGTCGTTCACTTACGTTGTTCCTTGGGGATGTCTGGGGGTGTAAGCTTCATAAGTCGTCATTCAGCTGTGTTAGAATGAGGACACAGCTATCTGTGGTTGGCTGCCCTGTTTGCATTACTTTATCTAGGTACAGCTTCCTAAAGCAGCCCTAACCACCGGGGTTGGTTTGCATTGTGCTTTTTCTTAAATGAAGAAATGAGTCGTAATTACTATGGAACTGGTCTGATTTGCTTTTGAAGTTCCTGTTTCAGGAAGTGGAGCCAGATCCTGGGTTTGAAAGTATGTTTCTCATAATACTTTGCTTTGGGAGAGGAGGAGAGAGAATGAAGAACCCAAACCAGGTCAGGTACTGCAGGGTATAGCCAAGCAACCAGTGAGCTCTGTGCATTGCACAGCTCCTTCACCTTTTGCTCCTTGTCTTCCTTCTCCCTTTGTGGGGCAACCTCTTTGCAAGAAAATAAATGATTGTAGCGGCAAAACCTGTTACTGTGTCACTGCATTGGTCATGCAGGGAGAATGTGTAGTGATGTCAGAGAGGAAACAGGGCTCCAATCTTAAAAGCTCTCGAGCATGCTCTAAAACAACAGCCCTGTCAAGATCCTGTTTTCCTTTGGCTATAGGAAAGGGCACTGTTTTTAATTGGGACTTTGTGCCCCATACCAGGGTTTCACTGTCTTTCCCACAGAGTAGAGTACCAAAGGAAAAGGTAGGGTTTGTTTTTGCAGCAGGGTAACTTCTCCTTTCTCTCCTCCCTGAACATTTGCCAGGCAGAAGACATTTTATTTTGTATGCTAAAGCTTTGTTTGAAGGAAAAGTGGAATCTGTCCTCTGGGAAGAGCAGCTTGGAGTTGCTTAAGGGTTGCAGAGGACTGAATGTGAAATCATGAGTTAGGAAAGAACTGATTAGAGGGAGACTGGGCCCAACTGTCTTGGCCAAGGTTGCAGTGAATTGGTGGGAGCCCAGGAGCCTGTGCACATATCCCTGGCAATTGGTTGGGCTGGCAGTTTTTTCTGAAGTATATTGCTGTAGGAAGGCTTTTTCAACCTTATTTTTCCCTCTTCATAAAAATCACTTTCAGAGAAGATTTTTGCCTTTTTTTTTTTCCTGTATACTGAGATGGAGGTCACTTGAGATAGAACACTGGTGTGGAATAAAGCAATGGGTTGGATATGGCCAGTGCTTGCAGGTCCGCTGTGAAAGCTGTTCTCTGACCGTTGCTAAGTGTAGGTAAAAATGTGCCTTCAGCATGCAGCTTTTGCTCATCCCTCTGAAATCCTGCTCTCAAAACTACAGCAAAAATAAGACACTGTGTTAGTGTGAAGTCACAAATTTAAATGCAGGCTCCCTTTGTGGGAGTGTTTCTGTCAGTGTTATGGCACCTTCCTCATGCAGTTCCTAACAGCAGGTGTAATGTAAGCTTCAGCAGGTGAAATTTCCATCCTTTGATTGAGTATGACTGAACGTGCCCCTGTGCTGCTGCTGGTCTGGTGAGCCCCAGGTAGGCATGGCAAATGGGAGATTTAAAATTACACTGCTCAAAGCAGGGATGGATGTGGTGAGGGAGGCTGCAGAGATCCCTCAGATTTCCTTCTTGGATTCTTTCCTTGTGATCTTCTTGATGGAATAAAAGGATGTGTGAGAGGAAGAGAAGCAAAGGTCAGGAAACTTTTAGCTGTTTGGAAGAAAGGCAGATACCTTGGGATTAGTGATGTGGTTAATGAAAGAGTCACTGGATGAAAATACAGTGGTTTAGAGTGCTCTATATTGTTGTCAGCCTTCTTTTTGGAAAGAAATGGGAAAGATTCTGTGTTTGGGAGGATTAGTTTGGCAGAAGCATGAGTGGAGCGTTGGTGTGGGCAGGGCAGAGGTGAGGTTAGCAGGGCAGGGTTAGCAGAGGTGATAGTTGGGTTTCTGAACTTCTGAAATGCTGGAGGGAAAGGGATTAAAGGCACGAGAGCTGCTGAGGGCTTTTCTCTCCTCCCCTGTGATGGACTAAAGGAAGCTCAGGGTGATTGGCAAAGGCAGGAGTGGAAACTGTACAGCACTGGAGGGAAGGAAGGAAGGGACCTAAACCAGCCAAGAAAAAAGGAGGTGTGAATGGTCCGAGGTGCATAAAATGGTGATGGGGAGAAAGGTTGTTGAGCAGAGGGATCAGCTGAGGATTGGTGGAATAAGGGGGAGTGGGGGACCTTGGGCTGCAGCTGAAGCAGTGTTCTGGGTGTAATGAAAGCAGCAGAGGGAATGGAGACACTCTCAGGGAGTTGCAAGTAACCCTATGGAAAGGAGCAGCTAGTGCAAGGGTAAGAAGATCATTTATCTGGAGGATTTAAAGATCATGCTGTGGAGGGAGAGGAAGATTACTTACTCTGAAATGATTCCAAGTCCTCTCTGGTAGGGTGGAAGGAGCCTCAGAGCTACGGATGGTTTGAAAGTTGGAAGTGCCAGAGGAGCAGGAAATGGCATTGGAGGATATCACTGCAGTGAGGTGGTCAAGCAGCTTTTGGGGGTTTTTATAGGAGTGCCTTGTTTTTTGCTGTGTAGCTTTAGAAGCTGCACAGAGGTTGAAGATCCTCAAATCTTAGAAGAACTCAGGGGCAAGCCCCTGATTTTGACTGTTTTCTGCATGTGCTGAGCTTGAGGGCAGCTTCAGTGAAAGGCGTTTTGCTTTGCTCTGTCCATTAATACTTTATCTTCCCTGACCCAGGTAGCACAGCAGTTTGCCTGGGAGGCTTCAGGCACTGAGATGAGTTACCAAAGGAGGTAGGATATTGGTGACCTTCCTTTTTTTTCCTCTCTAGGCCCTGAAATGGCAAGTTAAGTCTGCTGGCTGCCTTATCCAGATATATCCCAATCTTTTTCCATTTTCCATTGCAAAGAGGGGTTATTTTGGAGTGGGCTGCTGACAAGCTTCATCCTTCAGTTACAGGAGTGTAGTGCTTACTGTTGAGGGTGTCTGTCACTGGGTGCCTCTGCTGTCTCTGTGATTGACTGACTGGCTTCCCCATGGCACAGACTTGGGAACCACTGTAATATCCAGCAGGGATGAACGATAGCTGTCGACTGTGCTCACAGTGTTTTAGAAGCGTTACTGAAAGCTGTGTGAATACATGAGACTGCTGCAATAAGTAATACTACTTTTTAGTGTTATTTTTGTAATTGCAGTGATTTTAGTCTCTAGATAAACTGTGCTGAACTCCAGGAATGAACACTGTGGGTGTCTCCATAGCACGGAAATCCAGTGGAGCTCCCAGCTACTCACAGATGTTGAGAGCATGTTTTCTTGCTCTAGCTTTCTCTTTTTCCTTTTTCTTTTTTCGTTGTTGAAGCAGAAATATTACCAGCCATATGTGTATACATGTACAATAATTTCCTCCTCCTCCATGAATGCACTTCCTTGTATCATTAGCCATACATAACACAAACTGTTCTCTCTTGTTTTTTTAGTTTGTTGTATAGTCTATAACAGAAGAACACTTCCATCAAGCCCAGTGCTGGGGTTTCTAAACTGGGTTGAAAAACCACTCAGTTTTGGGGGTTTTGCTTATGCCAAGAAGATAGGTGTTTGTTTCTTAACTCCCCAAAGGATCTGAAGAGCACAGTGAGCACGTTGCTGGTCCTGGATGGTCTATGCTTCCAGCACAGACCAGCTGCTGCCAGCAGGTTGAGCTGACTGCTGCTGGCATAGGGATTTGATGCTTTTAACTGGCAGAATGGCAGGGCTCAGGTTTGTTCCCAAGCAGCTTAGAGTACCAGGCATCTGGAGCTTCCACATCTGTGTTTTCAATGATGTGTACTGTTGGTGGCTTCAACTTCACTTTGTTTCTTAGGTGCTGCCTCAGGCACATGTATTTGATTTTTATATCCTTCAGCAGGCTGGGCCTGCTCATGGGGTATGCAGCAAAGGAAGTTGGTGGCTTTCCTCTGTGCTGCCAGAGACTGCATAGAGTCATTTTAAATGACATTTGTGACTGGAAGACTTGCATAGAGGAGTCTGGAATAGCCTGTATAATGTACAATGTAAAGATCTCTTTTACTGCTTTATTCTTACTTGCTGTTCCTTCGTTACACGCCCTTGGACTGCTGGTTTTTATCCTTTTAGCTACTGTATTGCTGGAAGAGCTTTTAACTGGGATTCCTCCTGCCTGCTTGGGTGCAGCCTGTGCTGCTGGGCTCTTTGTACAGGCTCTGGGAGGAAAACAGACTCTGTGCTAGTGAGTTCAGGCCACCTGGCAGGGTCAGGTT